ACAATATGGAACAGGTAGCGTTAAATCAATGGTATTTTATAATGGTAACCAAGCAATAAAAATGTATTTGACTTACTCCACGTGAGTAGTAATTAAAGAATTTAATTGTTATTTCGATATTACAGACAAATACATCAATTTTATGTATATCATTGAAATATGTATGGATTTACGTATTGTCATGAACGAATGCCGCAAGCCATCGATACCAATGGCACCTTTTATGTACCCAAAAGCCGGCAGCCGCGAGTCAAAAACTATATTCCGAACAAAACTTCAAACACACCCCACAGGAATGAATCTGTAAAGAATATGGGAACTTACATGCATACATATAACTGCTCCCATTCCAGCAATAATCCTTCCAATATATAACGTAATTGGAGCACGAGCAAAGAATATAAAAACCCAAGAGATTAAATTTAATCCATTTGCGACAGCAAACATTATTTTCCTACCAAAAATATCGTATGCAGGTAGTGTAATAACGCTTCCCACAAATAAACCCAAGTTATAAAGACTTACAACTAGAGCAGATTCCATCTAGAATATTAAAAATCATTCTTTATTCTACCTTCTTTTGACATCAGTTATTATTAATAGTTTTTCTGCTAGTATTTTTGAACTTACGGTGGCTAGTTGTACGCCAATGGGCGAATTTTCAGACTCCAGTTCAGGGATGAAGGGAGAACTCCATGTCCCATGAATTTCAGAGGCGGTAAATGACAGCAACGCTGATAAGAGGTTTATAAAATATTATCTGAGCTTTACTAATAGTACTGTTAAAGTTTAAGGTTGATGAATTATATAAGAAAAACTAGATAACTATTAATTGTACTAGATATTTTTACAAAATGGTGAAGTTGTTAAATGTTAGCAAAGAAATAGAATGGATGTGAAACATTAAAAATCAGATGAAATATAAACAGGTTTCACTGTTTCTTATAAAACCGTTAAAAATCAGGCATCACTTTTAAAATGGTAAAACATTTGTTTCATTTAATTTTTAATTGTGAACGATTATCAGGATGAACGCAGCAGTTCCACACATGACATAGGAAAACTAAGGAAAATATATGTTTAAACATAAGCAACAAAATATCTAATGGGATTTATCAAACAAGATCTATGAAAAACAATTGCCTATTACGCAGTGACTAGTGGCCTAACTGGGAACATATTTTAACATTCTTTGCTAATAGTTATTTCAAACGCTAACGAAATTGTAATTTGTAACTCAAGGAGTTGTTGATGCACATTAAATTAACATTTAATTGAATCGCTTACGTAATCAATCAAAACGCTGTAAAACTACTGTCAACGTTTACCTATATAGAGAAAAGTAAAAAGCACACTAATGTATTAATAGGGGCAGTAAGTGAAACTTTCTGCAGACGATAACATAAGAATGCCAATAAAAAACTTGTAATTTATTGGTGTTTCAAATTTTAATAAGTCTTCTCCTTCTGCGCCTCGGGCCCAGTGGGGCGCATTCTCCGCGGATGCACTTAATTACAAAATGGCCGATCACATAAAAAATCCGCTTAGGCTTGATGGTTAGTACATATAAATTAAGAAAAAGTACATAAAATTAATGTATTATTCAAACAAAATAAGCATATTTACTAAAAAACTACTTGTTAATTTATTATCTTAATCAACAGTATAAAATAAATGTAATTAAGTGTAAAATGACGCGGACCTCGAGTTGACAATGAAGTACAAACATTGTCTGTACTTCCATTTTGAAATAATCTCTTGTGGCATTATGAGTAGGGTAGATATAAATTGTTAGTGACTATCAACGCCGTTTTGTTACAGAAGACATAAAAAAAAGTATATGCATACATTCTAGAAATGCACCACAACTGTCTCACAATGCAACGTGTCAACTTATTTGATAAAAAGAGAGTGCTTCTAAATTAGATCAGTGATTTATATATAATCAGTTTTTTAAAAATGCGATTTATATATTTTTTCGCGCTCTTTAAGGTATAAGAATTTTTCAGTATCTAATTAGAGTATTAGATACGATCTCTTATCATACTTCCTTGTTTGTTTAGCTATTCAAAAAATCAAACGCGTTGAAATTAAAACAATTAAAGTATTTTAAAAAGAAAAACGCTTTGTAATTCTACAAAAAAATTTTAATAACGAACATTATAATTGTTTCGATAACTGATTAGGTATTTGACAAGAGTACGTAGTAATGATACCAGTATACTTGCGGCGATCAAAATTAGCAAAGTTCATATTGTACGTAAGACTGATCCTGCTCATAATTTTGGACTACCTTACTGACTTCTGGGAGTCTCATTTGCTCCAGATACTAATGCTAAAAGTGTCGATTTTCTCTAAGTTGTAAAAACTCATTTCTTTGAGATATCCAAGAAATTAAATTTAACACACTTCCAGCAAGCAATGTTGCTTTCCTACCAATAAGATCAGGGGGATGTATTGAAACAGCGCTTCCCAAGAAGAAACCAAGGATGTAAAGACTTACAACAAGAGCAGCTTCCATCTGGAATATGTTAAAATGCATTCCTAATTCTTTTCTTTTAACATTAAGAGGTTTTCTGCGACTTCTGCATTATTTCATTTACGATTAATTGTATGCCTATTGGAGAATCTTCAGATTCCAGTTGAGAGATAAATGGAGAACGCTGATAAGAAGTTTACAAAATATTATACCGCGGTAATAATTTTGTTACAGTTTAAGGACGTGCAGGAATTATAAAAAAAATGTTAAAAAACTAAGTAGGTTTTACGTACCAAGGACCATCGACGACGAAGTAAAACTAATCTTTTCTATCCTTCGGGAACAGTATTTTTTCTGGCTAAAGGGTACTCTATGTCCTTGTTTGTACCACTAGTTAAAGGGTGAAATGGTAGCAAACAAACAAATAAACAGACGAACAAACACACATTCCCCTTCATAGCATAAGTTAGGATTGCTAACAAAATTACAAGGGTCAAGAAGGTACAAATGTGTTGAAATGTTATAAATCCAAACACAAGTGAATTTACCCATGGGTTAGTAACCATAATAGAGTACGTTATTAATGTAGTTTAAATAATTATTAATTATTTAATTAATTTATCCTTAATATAGTTTACAATCAAGTCCGTACTTAAAGGGAGGAATGGGGTGTTCGAACCTGCACCGAAATAATTATTAAGAACGAAAAATCAAACAGTTTTTCAATCTGTAATCAGCATACATCTCCAATTAAGTAGGTAAATAAATGTAAGGTGAGAGTAATGATGACATTCGAAAGCAGGAAATGTGATAAATAACTTACCAGCTATGCAGTACAAGTATTGTCTGTACCTCCATTTGGAAATAGCCTCCTGTAACATTATGCTTAGGGTAGGTACCTATAACAATAGTTCGTTTGAAACGGTTAACTGCTAACACCGTTCTAAACAAAAATTAAAAAAATTACCTGTTAAGTTACATTCCAAAATCGCATTGTACCCCTCTTAACGTATCGATTTATCTGATAAAAAGAGAGTACTTTTATGTATATCAATCTTCAGCCCTCTTACACAATCAGTTTATCTTTTATGGCATAAATTCTTTTTTAATATGTGTTTGAGTATGAAGTGGAACCATTTATTAAACATAAGTGTTTGCTTGGTCATTCCAATTATTTAAAAAGCGAATAAATGAAATAAAAATATTTGAAAGGTCTTATACTTTAAACAAATACTAGAT